CAAAGCAATTCACTTCTCCAAGTGTCTCCTTGAATTAGGATTACAGAAAGCAAATCACTTCTCCAAGTGTCTCCTTGAATTAGGATTACAGAAAGCAAATCACTTATCCAAGTGTCTCTCACAAACAAACCACGACTGATGAATGAACGTTGACTTCTGCAACCAGGGCGTGGCACCATCCTTTTATCTCCAAAAGACGACACTAACGAGCCCCAGCTGCATTGTTAATCTTGCATCCCGACTCAACTCACAGCAAACGTCTGCTGAGTCACAACACATCAGTATGCGAAAAGTGTGCATGAAAGGGAGCTGCTCAGACTGTGTGAAACAAAACTGTGGACTTTTTTTTGGCATTATTTGTGGTCTGGAGAGTTAAGGCACACAAAGGGTGTTCTAACATTCTAGATCATGGGTGTCAAACTCGCCGTGTCACTTTGCCATCATGTGATGTATCGCGACATTTCCCCCCTTCACGGAGCTGGGGTGGGTGTGGCCTCTACATGACACATCTGGCCCACTGGCTGCCAGTTTGACACACCTGTTCTAGATGCCTAAGGTAACAGTGTCGTCTTTAACACTCTAATTCCAAAACTGGATCCTGTCCCTGGTAATTTGGGAATGGAGTTCTTGACATGGTGTTTAACACTTGAAGTGACCTTCAAGGTAACCAAAATAAAGTTGTCAATCAAAACTGATAAAAATAAAATGAAATAAGCTAGGGATTTTATCCCTTGGAATTGAATAGGCAAGTACAATTTACAAGAGCAGATTTTCTTCAAATAAAATACATTATAGAATTAGCTTTTTAGTCCTTTGGTTAAGTCATATATATTTCTGCAAATTAGTATTTTTGGTAGGAATGAGTATGGTAAATAATATTCTTGGAAATGGTCCTTAAAGGTGAATGTCTAAACAAAGACTTGGGTTGTTAGTATTTCCTAAGCTTCATGTAAGAATTAATCATGTACTTCATGTAAATACAGGTAGTCCTCAAGTTATGACTATAATTGAGCACCACAATTATGGTCGTAAGTTGCAACTCTTGTTAAAGTGGACCATCAAGTGACCAGACCCAATTATACAATCTTTATTGCAGCAATTGTTAACCAAATGTGATGGTTAAGTAAACCCATTGTTTCTTATGGGGCAGGTTTTCCTCCTTCCCCCAGAAACCAGTAGTAAAAGTTGGTTTCTGGAAAAAGCGTGACAAATTGTGGTCATGTGACCACGAGGCATTGAAAATGGCCGTACATGATGAGGCCTGCTTGCCAAGAGCCCAAAATTCAGTCACATGATCATTGGAGGGGGAATGGAACAGTTCCTAAGCAAATGATCATATGTTGAGAACTATCTGTATTGGGGGGGCGGGGTGCGCTTTGGAAGTATTGTTTTCATGTGGCCAAGCTTGTATTGCTTACTTTTACCTCTGCTGTTATGATCTGTTCCAGCCATTGTGGTCCAGAGTTCATCCTCTGAGCATGAAGATCTTGTTTCAATTTTTAATTTATAATTGCCAGAGAGTTGGTCATCTCTGCTTCCCAGCCTCAATTTCCTATTTGTGAGTGGTGTCAGTTATTAACTATATCATAAAACTGTGAGGATAGGAGTGAGGAAGTCATGCAATTCTCATTCCCCAGGCTTAAGGAAAGGATACCATCAAAGCAATACCTTACCAGCTTTGGTTCCACCACAAAACCACGCTCGACTAAACCGTGTCCGACTAAACCGCGTAGCTGANCTTCTGCCAACCTAGCAGTTTGAAAGCATGTAAAAATGCAAGTAGAAAAATAGGAACCACCTTTGGTGGGAAGGTAACAGTGTTCCATGCGCCTTCGGCGTTTAGTCATGCAGGCCACATGACCACGGAGATATCTTGCGGACAGCGCTGGCTCTTCGGCTTTGAAACGGAAATGAGCACCGCCCCCTAAAACCCGGGAATGATTAGCATTTATGTGTGAGGGGAACCTTTACCTTTATAAATACATTTTTTTAAAAAAGTCTGAATAAGTGAGCCTCTTCAGTCCAAGGAGACTCGTCCCATATTGCATGAAACTGTAAGAGGAGGGTACTAGCTCATACTAAAGACGCATGGATTCCCCTCTTCATTCTTTTCCAGTCATGCATTGACAGGAGGAGAAAGTGAAGAATAAGTTAATTACAGACCAATCTGTGTAAAATTAGTTACACCCCATAATTGGAATCTTACCAATTAGGCATGGGAAGCAAAGACATGTATATATGTGATTGCTTTTTACTTCTTCTGACGATACCTGAAAACAAGGAGAATATTCAAATATATTAAATATGATTTTCAACGTGCAGTCCTTTTGGCATCAGGAGCAGCCCCAAATGATTCAAAATCTAGTTATTTGCAGGCATTGTGCAATGAGAATGTGTAAGGAATGTAATAGAATATTATCTAAAAATCCCAGAATCTGGGGGGAAATGAAAGCAAAATCACTGACAATTATTGTATGAAATATTAAAAAAACACACCAAAGAATAAAATTGTAAATTCTTCAGAGAAAAGCAACTTTCTTATTATCTTTTTTGACAGTCTGTCCCCACCTCACCCCAATTCCGCCCAACTCAAATCATGACCTTATTTTATATGAACTGAGTTTTCAGGATTCCAGTTTGATAAGGCCTTCCATTTTTTTTTATCCCAAATAAACTTTCATCTTTATTTGATATTCTGGAAGAAAATGAACCATAAAATAACATATTTTCCTCTATCCATCAAATATAACTTGAATTTAACAAAGTCATTGACAGCATATTCATATAGCATTAGAATTCTAGTTCTCCAAAGGGGAACAATGGCATGATTCTTTCTGGAAGAATTCATCTGGAAAGATATTACTTGTATAAAGTGGAAATATACACAAGCCTAGTTTTTTTAAAAAAACTCAATAGGACTAAATTATTAAAAATTGCTAGTTTATTTTTTTTATACATCAGTGTTCTGACCCCCCTTCTCCACTCGTTCAAAGACGACAGGCAGACAGACTTAAAAAAACTTAAAAGGAAAGAACTAAATTATTAAAAATTGCTAGTTTATTTTTTTTATACATCAGTGTTCTGACCCCCCTTCTCCACTCGTTCAAAGACGACAGGCAGACAGACTTAAAAAAACTTAAAAGGAAAGAACTAAATTATTAAAAATTGCTAGTTTATTTTTTTTATACATCAGTGTTCTGACCCCCCTTCTCCACTCGTTCAAAGACGACAGGCAGACAGACTTAAAAAAACTTAAAAGGAAAGAACTAAATTATTAAAAATTGCTAGTTTATTTTTTTTATACATCAGTGTTCTGACCCCCCTTTCTCCACTCGTTCAAAGACGACAGGCAGACAGACTTAAAAAAACTTAAAAGGAAAGAACTAAATTATTAAAAATTGCTAGTTTATTTTTTTTATACATCAGTGTTCTGACCCCCCTTTCTCCACTCGTTCAAAGACGACAGGCAGACAGACTTAAAAAAACTTAAAAGGAAAGAACTAAATTATTAAAAATTGCTAGTTTATTTTTTTTATACATCAGTGTTCTGACCCCCC